CCTTGACTTCTGATTTGACTTGTTTTGTAATTATCTTTATGTTGTTTTCAATGAAGGTACTTGAAGAGAAGGAAGAAAAAATTGCTCCCGGAACTTTGCTTGGAACAACACACACGTATGCAAAATACTTGTTCCTCTTTTTTTTTTTTTAGTGTAGTATTTGAGTAGCATATTATTTTTCCCTTCACAGTCGTTTGTTTACTGGGTTGCCACGTTTTTTTTCCTCCTATCTACAGCTATGTTGTTGGCACTGGCACTCAGGACAAGTCAGGTGCTAAAAGGGTAAGTTTTCTCATGTTTAAGATGATGATATTTGTTTGTTTTGAAGGGTAGCGTATTTCATGTATTATGGCTTTGGCACTTTCAGGTTGATTTGCTTAGGGGTCAGAAAACAGATAAGGTGGATGTCACTTTACAGCCAGAAGAATTGGAAGCGATGGAAAATGTTTTGCCTGCGAAGTATGATTTTTTCTATCTTTTTTATAATTTTTTAGAGTTGGTTAGTTTTGTTTGTGTAAGCTAGATGAGGCAGTGATTTCTTACTTCTAATGGAACAATACAGGTACGAAGAAGCAAGAGAGGAAGAGAAGATGCGTAGTCAGCGTGAAGATTTCAGTGACATGGTTGCAGAGGTGTGTTTACATTCACCTTTCAAATCATATATAGACATGCATATTAGATTTTGTAACTCGCCAATTTGACTTATAATGAATGTTGTTATCTGGTGCAGAACGAGAAGAAGAGGAAAAGAAAGATGCAAGAAAAGGAGGGCAAGTCAAAGAAGAAAGACTTTAAGTTTTAGGGTGCACCTGGTTCTTTTCTATTGCTGGAAAATGGGGCTGCGACCCTTTTGTACTGGGGCAGTTCTCACATTCCATTAGTTGAGAATTTGTCGTTAGCAGCGGTAACGCGACTGTATTATTGCTTGAAAGAAAGCTGTGAATGTTCTGGATAGGAATATAGGACTACATAATACTATGAAGACTCTACGCATACGCGTGGTAGGTAGTTCAGGCTTTACAAGTGTCCTAAATGTAGTTTAATAGAAATATTCTCACTACTGTCATGAATATTTGTAGGCTTATTTTCATTTTTGGAATGACTCATTGTTGTATTTTCTTTTCTTTTTTCATTTTTGTATGGCAACTTTTCGAGTTAAGGAAGAGCCGGTTTGTCTAAATTAGTTCTCCCTGCGAAAGTTGAATACTTTTACAACACTGATGTATCTATTTGGGGGAGAGGTGGGATAGGAACTACTTGGGGTTTAATTATTTTTTATTAATTTTGATATAATTATGAATAGTTGAACTTAAAATTCTTAAAATTAACATGTATAATTATATCAATTTCAATTATAAATTTTGTATTAAAATGTGTAATATGATTAGAGAGATTGATTTTAGATGTTTGTAAAACGTACATTCAGTTTACTTGTTGAGTTACTTCTTTAGGGTGTTAAAGATAGAGAGGAATACACAAACTATAAAATAAAATTTGATGTTATAAAAAAAATCTTTAAAAATTGGGTTGCTTTTCTTTTCGGAGACTCGGATAATTTATGTATGTATTTCTTAATTCAAATTTGATAAACTTCTCTGATGATTTTGAATAATATATTTAATAAAAGACCAGAGAAATGAAAGCAACATTTTTTATAACACTCTTAAATCTTTATTATTGATTAAATTTTCCCTAGTTTTTGTAATTTTTAACAAATCTTTATTACTATTATAAAGAATATTAGGAAGTGTTTGAGAAGGCGTTAGCTAGTACTCTTCAAAATATTTATCATACATGTATTAATATAAAAATGTTATGATAAATCATCAATAACTATTTATAATATTTTTCAAAAACTTGAGATATTTACACTATCAATGGATTAAGTATGTTTTTATTTCATTTAATCTCTTATTATTATTTTTTTATTTTTCCTTAAGTCATGACAATAGTAATTCTTTTTCTTCTATTTATTACAATTAAAAAAGTTAAATTTCTCTCTTTAATATATTAGAATTTTAAAATTCATTAAATTGTTAACTTGGAACGGATTTTGAGACATTTTGTGGACATTTATTTGACAGACAAAATTCATCGAATAATATTTTTATTTTTGAGGACAATAATTTTTTTTTATATCAGTCAAATTTTTTTAAAATTATACAATTAAAATATTTGATTGTTTCACCGAAATTTTAATCGAATCGGGTTGTCCAATTTTTACACATGAAATAAAACAAATATACAAAGTGAAAGTATAGTACAAGGGGACAATATTCCCGACTTTAATTTGGTTCTTACACATACAAAGATATCTGATTTTAATAGATTCTCAAATGCCTCGTTAGTGTAACTTTCACAGCTTTGTATGTAGTGTCTCTTTAATCAATCAGACAATGAGTACATCATTTTCGTGTTGTAATAAAAACCTCAAAGAAGAAAAATCACATATGTTTGTCTGCATACTGCACAGGATTATTTTGTGTCCACATTCCACTTCACAGTAAACATTTACCGCAAAATATGCAATCTTTCAAATCAATCATTTTCTTATTTATTTATTTTTAAAGAAAAAACACCTTTTATAAACTTTTCAATAGCAAAATCTCACATGGTAGCAAACCACACGCAGAAGTTTCGAAATGGATGGAGTTATAAACTTTATAATAATAATAACACTTCCCTCGTAACATTCTTTCCGAATAATATATAATATATAGTAATGGAAAACGTCAAATTGGGTCACTTAGCCGATAAGATAACGAAACATGGAAGTCGCAATCACAGTCTTTGTTTCTGAAAGCATCAGTGGCCCAAATGGTTCAATCAGGTGGCCCAGCTTCTCCCGTAATGGCCCAACACGTGTCCTTCTTAAGATAAGCAATTGCAATAAAATAAACTAACGAGTAATTGATTCGAACGATTACGAAACTAAAACCACGTGGTTGCTGGTTCCACCTGTTACAGCAAGAGCATCAAAACCTCTTATTTCCACCCTTAATCACTTTTTTTATTTTTTATTTTATTTATTTTAACGGACATAGTAGTTTAGTTTAGTTTAGTTTAGGTGGCATCGCAGATGGACTTAATCCCTTCAACTTGGATTTAATTCACTCTGTCCTTTTCATATTTCTCCGACAAACATTCTTTCTTTTGTCGTTTATCACTCCATCACACTAGACCCTTTACCTAACCAACCGACCAACATTCATTTACTTCCAAATTAACCATTAAAAATTAAAATACTACTAATCAATATCTTAAGAGTAATAAAGTGTTATTTCAATAAAATCTTTGTCATTGATTCCTTAAGACACTGGTTAAAAATAATGATAACATCTCTGAATATGGTAAATGTGATCAAGCACATTTAATTGTGATTTCTTACCGTAGTCGTGGCTTAATTATATATGTGCAAGTGGCTTTTGGTTTCTCATTTCCAATAATAATTAATCTTGTGAGTTGTGACTACCACCAGCACCATGTTGGAGAAATTATTACTACTCTTTAGTATTTCATTCATTCATGCGTTAGAAAACAAAACCAAATAAACATGTGCAAAACGATAGAAAAATCCCTTTATTTAATTTATTTAATATCTAGAATTAATAAAGGAATAAAAAATTTCATTTCATTACATCAATCTGAACTGAGGAGATTTCGGAAGAAATAGTTGTTTATAAAGAAAGAAAAAGCACAATTTCGGAAGAAAGAGTTACTATCAAGGTAAAGAAAGAAAATCACCCCCATAATTTATTCGAAGCTTTTTTTATTTCTTCTTCTTTCTTTTGCCATTGTGGTAAACACATTATTGAAATTAAAATTCTCAAGTAATTAGCTCGAAACTGACATTATTGAGCATGTTGCTGTCATTGTGTTTGTGTGAGACATGCACTTGGTTTATTCTTTGCCCCAAAGTGTCGGCTGGTACGGATCCAATGTATATGAATTCGTGTCAAGACATTCAAATATGACACCTTCTACAATTCATTTTAAAACCCTCTATTCAATTGTTTCTACAGTAATGATACCTTCTATCAACATATTTTAATAAATAAATCTCTTATGTATTCGGTGCTTTAATTGTGAAAAAAAAAATTTATTTAAAGATTATGGGTTTGAATTTTATCAACAACTTGTTAATATATAAAAAAAATAACTAATATCAGATGATTTCCACAAGAATTCCCTTGTTTTAAAGGTGTCGAATGTTGAACTTATTCGCCTCAGGTTTTTTTTGACCTGATATTTGACTCAGGGTTGTTGTGATGTCTCTGACAATCAAATCCTGTAGTACGTGTCACCTAATCATCCTATTAATTAGTAGAATTTGGGTCGTCCTCTATAACATCCTAAAATGCTGCTTCAAACATTCAAACTCTCCTCTTGGTAAAACAAAATTAAGTATATTATATAGTATAATACCAATTACCAATTCTATATGTATCCTTATAAAGAACAAATTATACGAGAGCCACACACGAGCCAGGACTTAATTTTTAAATTTTGCGCTTAGCTAACGAATGATGAATGGTTCAATCAACAGCAATAGGCCAAGACATGAGACCTACACGTGCATGTAACATAGAGATATATACCCAATTCGCAGCATGTAATCACATGACATAGGTCCATAGAACACCACTACATGCACTCTTTCTTCCATTGTGTCCCACAAGAAACCATGTGTTGCCAACTGTTTTTAACCTTCCTAAGAATCTTTGGCCCCACTATTACCACCCTTCGCTTTCCTCTAATGTCTATCAATTAAGAAAAAAACATGACCGTAGTGTACTTGCCAACTTTGTGTTTGTATTGGTGGCCAAGTTTGCTGCTTAAATTATTATAGCACAGCATCATGCACATCTACGTGCCTTTTAAAGCCAAAACACAAAGCACTATCAATGGTCTATAATAGTCCACGTGTCACCCACCCACCTTCACCTTAGGGGTTAAGTATCTCTCTATTTCCCCTTTTATAATACTTATGTGTAGAGAGAACCAAATGAGAAGTTGTTACCTTAGTCTGCATAAGTTTCATGAGATTTCATTTTCCTCCACTTCCACCACACACAAACACAACTTCAAGTAATTCTTTCTGCTCTTCTTGTTATAATTATTGATCCTTTACAGATAGATAAGATCATAAATAGGTATTAGATTTAGACAGATTGGAGAAAAGACATGCTCACTTCTTCTCATCTTCCTACGCCTTTCCTTCTGTCACCAATTTCTTTAGACCCTCACAAGGTTTTGGCTATAAGCAGCAATCTCATCCTCTTCTTATCCCTCAGATTCATTTCTCTTCTCACATCTCGATCAAAGGGATAAACTTGCCACCTTTCTCATCTAATTTCAGAAGGAAAAAAAGAAGAAAAACTTGGCCTTTGACTCTAACTTTCTGGTTAATAGTGCTTTCAGATATGGGTTTGAGTTCTAAGCAGGTTTCTAATAGAGGACTTGATTGGAAGCAGACCTTGTTGCAGGCTCAAAACTTGGAGCTTCCAAAGCCTCCACCTATGAGGAAACAACAGCAACAAACGCAGCAACCAGAGCCTTTGAAGTGTCCAAGATGTGACTCTATTAACACCAAATTTTGTTACTACAACAACTACAACAAGGCTCAGCCTCGCCATTTCTGCAGAGCTTGCAAGAGGCACTGGACTAAAGGTGGAACTCTACGCAATGTTCCTGTCGGCGGTGGCAGGAAGAATAAGCGAGCCAAGAAATCAACCACTCAAACCACAACCACAGCCACAGCCACCACTTCTATTAGTACCACCACCTCAAATGCCAACATGGATGGTGAGTTGAGTACTCGCATCAAAGTTCCTCCTCTTGCAGTGGATGATCATCACAAAACCATACCTTCCTCTCTCTATCTTCCACAGCAGAATCTGATGAGTTCCAAAGACTCCGAAGACAAAGACTTTGGTATTGGTAATGGCATCTTTCTGAGTTCGACTGCGCCTTATCCTCAAAACCAAGGCCTTCTCTTCCCCTTCACAACATCGAACTCTTTTGACACGAACACGTGTGCAATATCAACCTCTTTGCGATCCTCCAGTGTGTATAACTATGGTGAAGAGTTTAAAATAATGGAGGAGCCAACCATCAACAGTGTTATGCCCGGCACCAACACTCAGCCATGGGAGATAGCTGCAACAAGTTCTGGCTTGGAAATGTCTAACTATTGGAGTTGGGAGGACATCGATTCGTTGGTCTCAACTGATCTTAATGTTCCTTGGGATGATTCTGATATCAAACCCTGACAAAAGAAAAGAAAACAGTAACCCATGTCCATAGATTAGTTATTTTAGTTTTGGTGTTTTGTGTTTCATACGGATTAGTAAGTGTTCTTGTTTTCAGATGGATCTTATTATCCACTGGTTTTTCTACACCTATAAGTCTTGCAAAGAAAAGTATTTGGAGCTGTCTTATTTTAGTTTCAGCTTCAGATTCAAGCAAGGGGGTCCGATTAACTGTAACCCAATGAGTTTGCCTGTTCATCTCTCTATCATTTCCTGTAATAAAATGTTACGTTAATGTCTGCAAGTAGTTTGGCATTATTCATTAGTATAGGCAATTTTGTTTGTTTGTTTTCGTTGGAGATCCCATATTTACTATCCATTTCACAAACTAATTTTATAAAATTGAATTAGATTTATAATTTATTTATTTATAGATAGTATTAAAATCTATTTTAACAATTATTAAATTTTTAATTATTATTAAAATTATTATGTCATTTATTATCGGACTACTATGAGGTACGTTTGATATAATTAGTTTTCCATGTAAGGAAGATGAATCCGAGATCCACTTTGAATAAGTGATAAGAGATCAGACTAATGCATATAACTGTAAAACTATTTTCATTTTATAAACTAATTTTGTATTGTTTTAATGGTTTCTTCTGATGGGGGATGAGTGGATAACTATTGACAATTTGACATGGGGTCTGCTCCAGCATAGCTGAACTGACAGAATGTGACGGAAGATTCTTGTGGATATGTATATATGCATGTGTTGGAATGATTTAACATGGATTTGGTTGGCCAAGATTCATCACCACCACTTGTTGAGAATCATTCTTTGCTAATGGGCCAGAAGGAATTCTGGTTGCAGAGTAGTTTATTGATATTATGATATTCTGTTACTATTATATCCCTCACGGATCTTTATCTGTGGGCTTATACTTCACATGGTGTTTTCATATCTGCTCCTGTTTAATAGAACAATGTATGGTATCTTGGCCCACCATATTTTTCAAGACTTGTTTTTGCTCGTCATTTCTTCTATGATTGCATAGTCAGGACCAATAGTAGACCCCTTTAATGTATGAAATTTCGCACATAGAACATAGAAGATAGATATATATCATGATTTTGAAATGTAACTGTATCAAATTCAGAACTAACTTGAGGAATAGTACTCGCGTACCTTCTTTTGGGGACAGGCTTTTGAAGGAAGGTTAACAAACAGGTATTGCACAGAAATGCATGCTTTTATCATATGTAACCTATATAATAATGCACATGATTAGGTTGAGCATTGATTTTTACACATAGTGTTGTAACAAAAACTAGCCATCAAATTTACTTTTGGGTGTGTAATTACTGAAGTTAACAAATGCTATATAAGATATATAAAACAAACAACATGACTAAGGATATACATGAAGAAATAATAAGACTCAAATTAGTGAAGTAAAAGCTACTTCTAAAAGCTTCAACGAGACTTGAGTCTAAAACTTAAATAATATTTTCTAACACAATGTCAAACCAAAGTCCTGGTTTAATGTGGGGAGGAAAATACTGCTCACATTCTATTCTCAAGCAGATTTTCATATAACATTTGGAGAGTGTGTTATAGGTAGGCAGGGGAACAAGGTACATTGCCAATGGAATAAAAAGAAACAGATTTAAGGTCTCTGATTTTTCTTTTTAAAATTTGATCATATTCTAGGTCTAAAACTAATTCTGAATCGAAATTTTTTTAGATAGCTTTATATTGGATAAAAAAATTATACCGAATTTTACTATCAACTTACTTTTATAATAAAAAAATCCAAATATAAATCACATTATTTTAAAATTAATTTGACGAAATTAATTTTACAACTTAACCAAACACAGAGTAAGTCGGTTCTACCTTGAAAGAGATGCCCATGAGTTTGAAAATCTTGACATGAACAATCACCTTGCAAGTTGGGTGCAGAAAACGACAGCTTCAAAGCCCACTCCATCTTTACAATTGTTATGTAATTGTAATGCCTAAATGTTTTTCTTTTTCTTCTTTTGTCGGTAAAATGTGGTGACTAAAATTTTACACAAATACACAAAGGAATAATATACAGTGTCAATGAATAAAATTGGCATAATTTTGAACAGATTTTGAGATGAAACAAATTACGCAGAAGGGGTGGACTTTTGTTTCTAACTTTGGTATGTATATATTGTCCTATTTATATGTACTGAGTCTATGACATTCCATAAACTTTTAATTTTTTTAGAACTGTCTCTGGTAAATATATACTGCAAGTATCTTTCTCCCACATAATTTTACAAAACAATGCTAATTTTTTTTGGGTGAAGACAACAATGCTGATTAGTACGAAAGTGACGAGCACGAAAGTACACAAGATTGAATAAAGTTATCTTCTATTATTAAAGTTGTTTTTCTTACTGTACATCATTATTTAAATATATAACAACGAAATGTCAAATTTCAATGCCATTGAGTTGTAATATACATGCGAGTTACGCGAGTTGTAACATATGCGGAAAGCCAATACCCACTTAAGAATTTAAAAGTCAAAAGCTATAAATTGTTATTGATATTAGAAATTACCAGTCATGTTCCACATTGAACCATGAATTTGTACACAACAATGGAACCAAAAGAGAAAACTAGATATCCCAAAAGCACTAAAAGCTAAGAGTCACCTCCATCATATTAGGTTACTCCTTTCACCACTCAAAAGTGTTTTTTTTTTTCTTAAAAAAGAAAGTTGGACTATGACTATGATTGATCAGGCAAGCTTGTCATCTCCAATCCAATTGGCCCAATTAGCTTCACTTCCAACACGAGGCATGAGGTGGATGTTTGACTGAGAGTCAACATTGAAGATGGCCCCACAAATAACCCCTTGGCTGTCAATCCGAGGCATTGGTTTCATCTTCTTTGTTGGATGTTCAAAGCTCATGAGACCATGCTGACTATGAAACATACACCCTGCAATTTCAACACCAGTTATGGCTTCAATACACCCTTTGAAATGTAGTAATCTGAATGAGTGGAAAATTACATACCAGTTGGAAATGGTGCAAATGATTTAGCACAGGTGGCTTTAACAAGGTGGAGATTTTCAGAAATAACTAGGGAAGCATGAGGTGCAATACCCCAGTAGAGAGGAATATGGGCATTAGAAGCCTGTTGAGTGTTGAGAAGATGTGGTTATTAGATTGTGATGTGAAATGAGAATAGAAAGAGAAGAGTGAAGAGACATACAGATGCAAGAAAAAGAGTTCGATCCCTGTTGTCATATATGAGAAATCCAAAAGAGCCTTCAAGTTCTTTGAGGACTTGATGAGCAGGGTATGGAGCCCTATCACGAAGAGTCCGATATGCTTGAATGATAAACATTGCCTCATTTCCTCCCTTTGATAGCCCATACTGCTTGTTCAGCATGCTAAGGTTGTGCAGCTCACCCAAGAAAACACAGTATATGTCATCCAAAACACTAAACAACCTCTGATTGTGATTGTGATCGCCATCCATGGAAGGAGCATAACCTAACACACCATCACCATTCCCAAACCTCATCCACAAACCATTCCACCAATTCCCAAATCTCATCAAATCCTTCATCATCTCATCCCTTTCCTTACCCTTACTGCATGAATTCAAACATGCTGGACTCTTCAGCTCCTTCGGTGCATTCACTAACTTCTCATTGAAAATTCCCAACATCTTTGTTTGCCTCTTACCTTCCAATCTCACTGCACAATCAACATCAATAACCTATCAACTTCTCCACAATAATAATAATAATAATAATAAATCAAATCATCATCCATACGCAAAAGTTAAAACCACACTCTTAAAAACTGAGAAACCTACCCTACCAATATTAATAATCACCAATCCAAATAGCTTCAGATGAAGAATCAGTGGATCGTGCTTTCATATATATACATAACTTTCAATAATAGGAAGACAGAAACTGCGTGTCATGTGAACGTGGCAATTCTATCCGAACAAGAAAAAGCAGATAAAGATGAAAAAGTGACTAATCGTTACGTTTACAATAATATAATATGCTGTCAGAACTGATTTAAAATGTTTAAACTATGGGCTAGGCTGATTCGGAATGATGCTTCCATATATGAAATTGTGGATATATATTATTATGTGTAAATTAGATTTGGCTGAAAAGTTAAGAGCATACTCATAAAGCAGTCATGAAATATTTTCTAAAAAAGGAAAAAAGTTTATTTTCAAAAGATAAAAGAAATGTTATTTGTAGATATATTTAGGGTGTCTCGCAAATCTATTCACTCTTGTTAGATAACATCTGAAATCAAATTTAACTTTATATTATTTAATGAACTTACCTCAGATAAAGTAAAATATTTGTAATTCCATATATATATATATATATATATATATGCAAACTTTGAGATAGATAACATGTAATCTCATTGAAAATATGCAAACATTCCACTTGGATGGGATACACAATAATAATACTTCCGAAAAGTATGCAACAATGTGGTTGTAAACATAGGGTATGCCTCATCCATGATGTTTAAAATTAATTCTACTGTTTAAAATAATTAAAATTATGTTTATTGTATGCTTAACTATTAGCAAAATTAATTTTAAAATATAAAAATTTTCATTTACTTAAAAATAACTATTAATAATTTTTTCATCAAACAAAATCAATTATGAAATTTTATCTAATTAGATTAATAATTATACATTTAAAATCAATTTTGATAATAAATTTTTAAACAACATTTAATATAAAAATCAAGATTATATCTTTTATTAATCAAATAAAAAAAATTGTATTACTTTTAATTTATATTTATTTAATCAATTTTTAAAATTTACGTTATTTCTAAATTAATTATATCAATTCATACTTCAACTCATACATAATTGATGTTGTTGGAAATTGAAATGAAAACTACCAAAATTAGAAAACAGAAAAAAGGCAAAGTCTTATCCATATCGATATGACAATGATCTGACTCGGCTACTTAGAGCATCTCCAGTGAGCAACTCCCAACCACTTTAAATGGGTCTCATTGTGCCACGTCACTCATAAGCAACTCATACTATATTTTTACAATTTTTGCTCCAATGACAATTGCTTATAAGCACTCCTACTTTTTTACAACTCATACTACACTTTTTGACAACTCACATTATACTTTATGATAAATTTTTAAAAAATTAATTATTATAGATAATATATAAATATGAATAAAAAACAAAAGAAATTACATAATAAAAAAATTACAACAATAAAAAAAATTACATAATAAAAAGAATTACAAAATAAATTGATAAAAATTTATAAAAAAAAATAATATCTAAAATATTACAAATTTCTAAAATAATTTTTTAAATTTTTACTTATTCGATTTATTTGAAATTTAAATTATTTTTTCAACACTTTTCAATTTATTAAAAAACATGAAATGTTTTTATTTTTTAAAAATATGAATCAATAATCGTGTGCTTTTAATATAAAAATAAGCATGTAAAAAATATTATCAGCATGTTATGGTTTTTTTTTATCATATACAAGCCGCATAAAATTTTTACCATGTTAAATTTCAATAAAATTAATGTACATTTAAATTAATTTTTTTAATTATTACATATGAAGTAAAATTTTATTTAATTTTAAAAAATAATATTCTAAATATGTAATAATTTTTTAATTTAAAATAATAAATTTATTATTATTATTATTCTTATTTACGTTTTCTTCTTCTCACCAACGGCTCTTTCATCATTTTATTTTTTTTTGTTTTCTTCTTCTTCTCTCTTCTCTCTTCTTCTCTCCTCTTCTCTCTTCTTCTTCTTCTCTCCACTGCCACGTCTTGGGGGGTTTGGTCGCGCGGAGCCGCACGCGCCGGGGGGTCTGGTCAGACGGATCTGCGCGCCAGAGGGGGTTCCGGTCGGAGCCGCGCGCGCAGGGGGAGAGGGTCTGGTCGGAGCTGCGCGCAGGGGGAGGGGGTCCGGTCGGAGCCGCGCGCAGGGAGAGGGGGTCTGGTCGGAGCTGCGAGCAGGGGGAGGGGGTCCGGTCAAGAGCTGCACGCGAGGAAGGGGTTCGCGGGGGGAGGGGGTTCTGGCGCGGGGGCTGTCGGGACTGGCTGTTTGGAGGTTCCACCTAGATCCGATTCAACCAATCAAATGCCTCTCCTCAGTGCTAAGCACCGTTGCTTGGAGAAGCAACAAAGAAATTTTTTTAAGCAACTGGGTTGCCACGTGAGATCACTCTAACGGGGATTTCTTCTAAGCACCGTTGCTTGTCAGGAAGCAACGCTCTAAGAACTTGCCGCAGGAGGTGCTCTTACAACTTCCAAGCGCGTGTTCTACCATCCGTACATCATGCCTCGTTTTAATTTCCTGCTGTCAAAAAGATAATATTCTTGTTAAAAAATATATTATATTATCATTATATTATAAATTTAAATACTGCCAAAAAATTATAATTTTCAATATCTCTTTTTATTAATGTTTTATCTTTTAAAAACTATTATTTAAATATAAATTTAGACACATAATGCTAGTTTGAAAATTATTGTTTTAAAAACATTAAATTTTAAGATTATTATAATTATAACAAATTTAAATTCATATTATATTTTAAGCATAATATCAGATTAATATGCATGAAAATAAAGTCCTAGCAAATAAAATAAATCATTGATCTACTCATAAAAACAATTTAGTCATTGATAATGATATGAATATATCATTTTGTTTTTATTTAGTTCGTAAAAAATAAGTGAAAAATGAAAAGAGGAGTAAACATAAAATTGATTGTTTGATTAGTAAAAAATGTGAAGCGACACTTTATTTTCACAAACAACCAAAATGATATAAGAATAATGGTCATTGCATTTCATTTTGCTGCAATCTTTTTTTTTTTAAGCAATTTTATTTCGGTTCAAAACCGCTATAAAATATATCATTTTCTAAATATTTTTTTTTAGATATTTATCAATTAATTCTTATATTTTTTTAGTATGTATTAGTGAGATCAAGTCATTTCATACATTTATAATAGTTGATTATCATTATTTTTATATCTTTAACCTTATTTATAATCGGTAATATTTGATATGAAGTATGATTATTTCGACCATTTATATTAAAAATATATAATTTATTCTTCTTCTAATAATAAAAGATAAAAAGAAAAAAATAAATTTAATATATCAAAGTTTATTATCGTTTTTATTTATTGTTATATATTACCAGTTTAAACTACCTATTTATTAATATGGATTAAAGAAATTCATAGCAAATAAATATCCACAAAGCAAAAATAATTTTATCATAAAAAATTGATTATATTATTATGACTAGTGAGGTAGAGGCATTTCGTGCCTCTAATAATTATTTACTAATAAAATATTAAAAATTTGTGTATAATTATTTAAAGAAAATTTAAGATTTTTTTTTATATCTGGGAATATAATGGTATATTAAAAAATGGAGACCAAAAAGCGGTTACAGCTCCTATATCTCCTTTATAATAGTTATAAATTATAATTTTTTTTATTTTATACATTTTTATTTATTTTATATTTTAATCTTTATAATTTAAAATAAACATTTTTAGTTCTTAAACTTTTTTTTTTAGTTCTTTTTGGTCCCTTTAATTTAAGATAAGTCTTTTTAGTTTTTATATTTGGAGTTTTGTAATCTATTTAGTTACTGTTGTTATTTAAATTTTTTTTATGACATTCTCTCTTTTGTATTAATGTGATAGATGTTTTCAATTTTCTACCCTCACAATTGTAAGGGTAAAAAATTGAAAACTTCTACCACATCAACACAAAACAAAAAATATTACAAAAAAAAATTAATGATAGAAACTGAAAAAATTTAAAAAAATGTAAGTATATTGACTAAAAAGACTTATTTTGAACTATAAAAATTAAAAAAGAATTTAAAAAACAAGTATGTGTAACGATCCGCTATAGTCCACACATTTGACAGTTCAACTACTACTAACAATAAAAATTAAAAAGAGAACTACCAGATTCACATTTATATAATACTTGGATATACATGTCATAAGGTCTATATGCATACAAATAACAATATATCTACTATTGAATTAGAAATAGTGTACACATAACTATATAGTAATTGGATATAAAAGTATGAAAGAAAATGTTAGTTGTAGGTCAAGCAACATACTACACCAATTATACAAGGGTAGCTCTAAGAGATCCTTATTACATCCATCAACATGACCTCAAAATGAGTTTCAACAGTAACTTATTCTTGTTCTACCCCCTTACCAAATATGATCATCGTGATCCAATCATATGAAAAAATGCAAGGGTGAGTTAGAACTTAAAAGAAATAAATGTAAACAACTCAACTTAATTCATCACATTATCAACTTAAAACTTTTTAACACAATATAATATATTATCAACTCGAACAATACAACATTCACACCCATATTTGCAACACAACAACATATCTCATCACAAGTCAACATAGCATATGAATAACATAACTCAATCAACACATCATATGTACAACACAACAACTATATGTGTCATCACACATTTCAACTGGGAGATCCCCTGCAACACAGGTGAGTTGTTTATGACTTGACCTTACCAAACCAACAACCTATCTTTTCAATCAAGCTAGATCAACAGCCAATTGGGATACAAATTTCTAACAATATGGTTGCTCAGATGTTGTCACTTAAATTAAGAAGTTTAGTATTTTTTTCAAGCTAAAACAACTTAGATGTGAGTCTACCATGACATTAGCTAGCTTAGCTAAACCACATATAAACTACTTTCCAAATACTATGCTCTTATAGTATTTAGTTAGGGATTTTAACTCTCAACATACCTTACTCTAAATTTGGTCGCTTTATACATGTTTGTCTCGACCTTGCTCACATACGAGTCAACATTGATTGCTTATAGCTAGTATGTTTTGACCTGACTCACATACCACATCAATTTAGGTCCTAGAGGAGACTCAACTATCCACTTCAAGGGTTAACTTCCCATGAAAAGTTTTAACAAACTGGGCTCTCGGAACACCACAACACAATATCCTCACCATGGGATATGCAACTATAAAACAACTTCTTTAGTACCAGGTTAATCAACATAGCTATTCAGCAATGTCACGCAAACCAACTCAATCATATAGCACAACTAAATCATCATATAACATGTAATAGATCCAACTATCTTATACATGTTCACCAATTTTATCATAAAATAACAAGTTAAATAAAAGGAACCTGCCCTAATACTATCCACCCTACACTTGGCACCATCGAGGCAAGGAGCCCTCTATCTCATCCAATTTGACGTCATATAACTCGCATCTGTCATGGCTGAGGTAGAGAACCCTTAAGACCTCACGCTTAGCGTGACAAAGTCCCACGCCCAACCTCATGCCAACCCAAGATAATTCTCTCTCCTCACATCTAGCATCACTCCTTTGGTGCTTGTCATCGATCCAAGTAGGGCCAATTCTCTCACCTCACGTCTAGTGCCAATCAAACTATGCCAGATGCTAGTTCAACTTGATGCAATTCACTCTCTCCATGCCCAACACCACCAATTATGCACCTAGTGTGAGCTAAACAGAATACCCCCTAATTGAACCATGTTCAATGCCACGAAGGTGTGCTCAACGCAACAATGAGTTCTACACCCTACAAATTACAAATTTGGCTTAAACCACCTAAAAAATAGAAGAAGCCAACATGCAATGCACTACAATACACTTATACACCATCAACAACTTGAATCAACTCAAAGCAACAACATGCATTCACAAATCATTACAATCCATCAATTTTTCTCAATTCATTCGAGAGAACACCAACTCCCAACCTCAACATTCAATCTACACCAAATCAACCAACACAACTACAAATTCCATGAATAACATTCAACTTCATGAATCAAAAACTAAACAATTTATAGCTCCCTTTACCTCCAAGTTTCATAATTTGAGGTAGAGAAGAGGAAGAAGAAGATGAAGCTTTTCAAGAACTCTGTACAACACCATACTCACTCTGATTTCTCAGTTACGAAGCTTCAAATCACTACTCCAACCCTCAATAATGAGCTCTTATTGCCCTTAGGAATTTGGGAGAAGAAAAAGTTTAGAAAAATCATAGCTCCTTTAACTGCTATCTCTCTAAGTGTTATGAATAAGTGAACTTATGAACTTCACTTCTAAGGAAAAGTCTTATATACTCTTCTGTTATAGGTCCAACTTGATCTTTGCTCAAAGATACTCTTAAACAATTAAAAACTCATAAGAAATTTTATAATTTCAAAGTTTCTCAACATTCACGCAATAATTCAACACAACACTAATTTTTTAATTAAATCAATAGCACTTATTAAAAGTGTGCAATGATATAATATGGATTAAAAAAATATATTTTAAGTTGTAGGGACTAAAAGGTAAAGTAAGTGAAACTATACGATTAAAAAAATATTTTAACCTAATATTATTTTATTTTCATCTTATTTATTTTTCACTTATTTTTCTTAAATCAAACAACTAAATTTCAACTTTAATTTTTTGCTTATTTTTATCTTCTTTATTTCTTTTTGTTCTATTTCTCACCTATTTTTTTTCCTTCTCTACTAAACACACCCTTTTGTTCTATGAAGTATTTTCTTTCTCATAGATAGGGGTGTTCACGGCTCAAATTTATAAAATTTATAAAATTTTATAAAATTGGATCAGTTAACCAATATGTTTTTTATAAAGTGTATCAGTTTGATTTTTTAAAAACATATGGATCAAATTTTTTAAAATCGTGTTGATTTAATACAATATGATTATCCACTTTATACTTATATATGGATTGATTTTAAAGAAACTAAATCAAGTCAAATTGATTCACTCTACAAAAATGAATTAAGTAACTATACCAATTTTGTAAAATAAATCAATTTAATTTTTTTTTTCAAAATAAATCAAATTTTTTAATATGAATAAAATCGATTTAAATTTTTTAACACCCCTAAGTCATAGAATTAGTAACTTGGATAAATATTGTAACTCAAAATCTAGAGGACAAGTGAGATAACAACACATTTATTTGGTGTAAAAAAATAACCACATTTCTAATTTGTTTGTTATCAATTCTAACCGTGTATCAGCATAAAATGACCTATAATGAAGACAACTTTCTGGCTTCTTCCCCTCTGCCACGAACTCAATCAAAAGACCTGCTTCTGACAATTTCAAATGGCTAAAATCGGGTGTATTATGCTTGACGAAGGGATGCTCAACGAATACGAGTACTTAATTATCAGATTTACAATAAGACCATGTAAGGTAACAATACCCAATTGATATAAAGGAGTTCAAGAATAGATGCGACAAAAAAAAATAGCTGTCACAGTTAATACCTTAAGGAGTCAATGAACTCAATACGATAATAAACGAAAGAGTTATAACGCTTGAAGAACAACCATACGATCACGAGCACCGACTCAAGCCGAACCCAAAAAATGGGAAGGACTTTTCCATCTTCATACAAATTTTAGATTCAACATTGAATATCCAGTTGTTAATATAAAATTTAAAATTTAAATATATATATATATAAAATAAAAAATAAAAAAAAGTGATGCATAAAAAAGTAGGATGTTGATGGTATTATTCTAATTCATGTATATATTCCATAGCTCACTGCCAGTTCTCTGCTTGGAACAACGAAATTAGCTTCTGACTTCTGATTTGCAGTATTTTGTTCACTAAAAGTAAACCATTAAGGAATTGGTTTCAACTTTCAAATTTCAATGAAGTCTCACTAACATTCAACCAAATAACCAAAGAGACACATATAATTAACAACAAGCCTATTTTAACAGAGAGAGCCGTAAGGGATATTTAGTTGCCAACAAGAAACATTGTATGGAAAAACAAGCAGCCTATCTTAGTAGCCAAAATGGATACAATAATTAAGCTAACAGCTTACTATTTTTTTTACAAAAACCACCATGAAGAAAAATTTGTTCAGTAACTTTGCCTGCCATCACCCTCGGTTATGACATCCTGGAATGTTCCATTGCTAGGAATCATGGGCAAGACATGCTCCTGATGGGGTACAATGACATCAAGAAGATAGGGGCCAGGGGTATCCAACATTTTCTGCATTGCCCCTCTAAGCTCTCCTTTCTTGGCCACACGAGCTGCCGGTATCCCACAAGCATCTGCAAACTTCAACATATTGGGGAATATAGCATTCTCATTAGAGGGGTCTCCAAGATAAGTGTGAGCCCTGTTGGACTTATAGAACCGATCCTCCCACTGAACAACCATTCCCAAGTGCTGATTATTCAACAACAATATCTTAACAGGGAGCTTCTCCACCTTGATAGTGGCCAGCTCCTGAACATTCATCATGAAACTCCCATCCCCATCAATGTCAACCACAACAGCACCCGGGTTGGCCACGGCTGCGCCCATCGCCGCTGGCAATCCAAACCCCATGGCACCAAGGCCACCCGATGTTAGCCACTGCCTAGGCCTCTTGTACTTGTAAAACTGGGCTGCCCACATCTGGTGCTGCCCAACTCCAGTACTCACAATGGCATCCCCATTAGTCAACTCATCAAGAACCTCTATAGCATATTGAGGACAAATCTCTTCCTCAAAAGTCTTGTAACTCAAAGGAAACCTCTTTTTCTGCTCATTCAGCTCTTCCCTCCAACCTCTAAAATCAAGCTTTTTCCCAAGCCCTCTGCTCTCCAACAATCGATTAATCCCTCTCAATGCCAGCTTCAAATCCGCGCAAACCGACACGTGCGGCTGCTTGTTCTTCCCAATCTCAGCAGAATCAATGTCAATGTGAACAATCTTAGCCCGGCTAGCAAAAGCCTCAAGCTTCCCAGTGACACGATCATCAAACCTCACCCCAAAAGCAAGCAAAAGATCACACTTATCAACCGCATAATTAGCATAAACAGTTCCATGCATCCCAAGCATTTGAAGGGATTTCTCATCACCAACAGGATAAGCACCAAGACCCATCAAAGTGCTAGCAACAGGAACACCAGTGAGTTCCACAAAACGCCTCAACTCCTCACTAGAGTTCAAACAACCACCACCAACATACAAAACCGGTTTCTTGGACTCCAAAAGAAACCTCACAATAATCTCTAAAAGATTCTCATTGGGGGACTTGGGCAACCTAGCAGTGTAACCAGGTAACCGAATCGATTGATCCCATCTGGGAATAGCGAGCTGCTGCTGAATATCTTTGGGTATGTCAATCAACACAGGACCAGGCCTTCCCGAAGTGGCTAAGAAAAACGCTTCGTTAACGATTCTGGGGATGTCATCGATATCAAGGACGAGGTAATTGTGCTTCGTGATGGAACGCGTTACCTCCACGATCGGGGTTTCTTGGAAGGCGTCGGTGCCGATCATGCGCCGAGGGACCTGCCCGGTGATGGCCACCAGGGGGACGCTGTCCAGCATGGCGTCCGCCAGCCCGCTCACCAGGTTCGTGGCGCCGGGGCCGGAGGTGGCGATGCAGACGCCGGGGAGGCCGGAGGACCGCGCGTATCCCTCGGCCGCGAACACGCCGCCCTGCTCGTGGCGGGGGAGGACGTTGCGGATGGCGGCGGAGCGAGTCAGCGCCTGGTGGATCTCCATGGAGGCGCCGCCGGGGTACGCGAAGACGTCGGTGACGCCCTGCCGCTCCAGCGCCTCCACCAGGATGTCGGCGCCCTTGCGGGGCTCATCTAGGGCAAACCGCGAGGCGAAAGGCTCGGCGGCGGCGGCGGTGTCCGATAGAGCGGCGGAGATACGGAGGGAGCGGCGTTGAGAGCGGGATGGGGTGTTTGGGATGGAGAAGGGTGCGAATCGGAGAAGGGGTTTGGGGGATGGCGAGGATGAAGGGAGGGTGGTGAAAGAAATGGTTGTTTTCGAAAGAGTTGACGCCATGGTGTTGCAGCCTGCAGGCCCTAGGAATCTCCGATGCTCAAATCTAATATAGTACCAACCATGCATCAATATCAAATGTCAATTCTCAATACTGTCTTTCTCTTTTTCACTCACAAAATTAATTTAAAATGTTTTTTATTTTCATTTTTTTCTTTATTTTTTTACTCATTTTTTGTCTTCTTTAATTTCATCTTATATATTTTAAGATTCATCTTTCAATATATTGTTATTTATTTTTATATTTTTATTTACATTTTATTCCCACAACTATTAACAACAGTATCATAAATCACATTTAATTAACCAATTAATGAATAATAACATATCCTCATATCATATATTAAATCTTTTATTCAATTATTAGGTACTTTTTTTAAAATGTATTTTTACTTTTATCTAAACAACTCTAATGGAAGAAACTATCATGGTTCTTAATTTTAAGAACTAATTTTTCCAAGAACCTTCCATTAAAGCTTAGTTGGTTAGTAACATGAGTTTCTTAAAATTAAGTAACAAGTTTTTAAAGGAATTTTTTTTTGTCTCTTTCTTTGATCAACTAGCAATAGTTTTTTAAATTAAAATTTAAAATTATCAAAAAATAAAATATAAATACAAAATCATAAAAGTGTGAATTGTTTAGAAAATTTTATCATTAGAATAAAATTTGTAAACATTTAGTATAAATTATTTAAGAATTAATGTGATGAATTATTTATGTAAAGTATAAATCTCCTAATTAGAAATACTATCACTAAAATTACAATGACAAATACTCCACTACCATGCACACTTTTTATAAAAGCTTACATCGATCATTTGAATTTTTTTTTTTTATAAAGATAAATATCAATCATCCAAATCAACTAAATTTATTAGAATTCTTTTTTTTTTTTCAAGTTGATTCAACCGTTGATAAGACTATTTGTAAGTATTGCTTATAATATTAAAAAAAAAGTTATATTTATTCAGTAAGTAATTTTTATGATACCTTTTAAATAATAATTATTTTTAACTATCTCCTAACATCCTTTTGAACTTCTAATTAACATGAACTATTCTTACCCGAAGTTAGGATGAAGTCATTGTCTCATACAAATTACTTTTTTTTCTTCTTTCGACTGAAGTGAAACATTTTACTTTTTCCACCCTTTACATGTTTAGTTCATGTAAAATTATTCTTTATTTCTTTAATCATTATGATTTTGGGAAAGTAAACTATTTTCTGTTACATATGCTAATAAAAAAAATCGAAAAAAAAATAGAATATCATAAGTCGTTTAGTTATATAAACAACCCTTTCTTCTTAGTTCTTTAACATTTGTGTGTTAAATAAATTTTAAAAAATATAATGTTAATTATTTAAATATTTTAATTATTATATTTTTATTTAAAATTTTAAGTGTACTATATGAGATTCAAACATCTTATTACATGATTAAGTATTTTATATTGACTAAGTATTAGCAAGACATTTATTCGAATTTTATTCCAATAACTATTTAACGATCATGATTAAAATTGTATAATAAATGTAAAATTCATTGTTAACATTAAAGTATCATTAATCACATTTAATAAATAAATGAATGAATAAGAATGTATCATTGTATAATATATTAAACTTTTTTGGTGTCTAAAAAATATATTAAACCTTTTTATTCAATCATTAGGTAATTTTTATATATATATTTTTACTTTTATTAAAGCAACTCCAATAGAAGGCTGTTATCATGGTTCTTGTTCTTGATTTTAAGAACTAGTTTTTATAAGAACCTTCTATGGAAGCATGTTTAGTTAGTAATATGAGTTTCTTAAAATTAAAATATTAATTTTTTCTGTCTCTTCCCTCCCTTAATTAGCCAACAATAGTTTCATAAATTAATTTTTTTAAATTACAAATAAAAAATTATAGAAACATGAATAGTTTATAAGATTCTATTATTTGAAACAAAATTTATAAAAATAATTAGTATAAATTATTTAAGAGTGATGACAAATGACAAGGCCTATTTAAAATAGAATAAAAACCTTGGTGAATTGTTTATATAAATCGACCATTAGATATACTCTGCAAAACTTACAATGACAGATACTCCCCCAACCTGCGCAATGTATCCTATTTACATAATCTTACATTATCTGAAAACCTTTAGGTTTTATTTATTTATATATATATATAAATATTAATCATTCTCGAATCGACTAAATATATTATAAGTAAATATGTATCGAGAATTCAAATTTGTTTGAAGTTAATTTTTTTTTAAGTTAATATTCCACTGTTAGTAAGACCGTTTGTAAGTGTTGTTTATAATATAAAAAATCATATAAATATTTTTTATATTTATTAATTTATTTAATAAGTAATTTTTTTCAATTCCTTTTAAATAATAATTATTTTTAACTATCTCCTAACAATCTTTTAAATTTCCAAATAACATGAATTATTCTTATCGGACGTGCTTGAAGTCATTGTGTCATACCTTTCTTTTTAAGTCAACATTTTACAACCCTTAACTTGTTTAGCTTAGTAAAAATTTTGTCAATTACTTTAATTATTACTTTCCCCTCTTCTTTTTTATCTATTATATTTTAAGAAAAAAATTATTTTTATTTATTTATTATTTTCAAATTTCAAAACAACATTTATATTTTACTTAATTTTTAATTCATATATGACAATTAATATATATATAATAAAATAAAAAATAAAAGAGGATATAACAAAAAATATTAAAATCATTATAATGCTATTAAAAAAATTGATTACATTTATTGATTTGTGTAAAACAAGTTTAGATAGATTATTATAAATGAATGGTGATATTTTGGGAAAATAAATTAGTTTCTATTAGAATATTTATAAAGGGAGTTGATTATAAGCAACTCTCATTTATTTTAAGTAAGTCTCACTGTGTCACATTATTTATAAGTAACTCATATTATATTTTTACAATTTTTGTTCTAATGGGTGTTGTTTATAAACACCTTCATTTTTTTATTGTTTTAGGATGAACCATTGAAGGCTCTCCATTTAAAATTTTATAGTTCCAAACATCGAAGTTTTAAGAAAGAATGGATCTAAAAAAATTTCAAATTTTTTTTGTCACGTCAGATTATTTCAATAACAATTTCTTGTAAGCTCTGTCCCTTATTTTTAAGATACATCTTAAGTACTACGGTTGAATTTGCTCTTATATATATTAATAAAAAATTAAAAAAAGATCATATGCTGTTTGATTGGTTCATGTAAATGTAGTTGTCTTTTCAAGTATTTTTTTAAAAAAGAAGAAGAAAGAAGAAGTTGAGATGGGGGGACGAAGCTTTTGAATGATACTAACACGTGTTTCAACCGATGATAAAGAAAAAATTGAAGTTGAAGTTGAATAAGTGCCTGTTGGGTATTACTTTGGTGATCCACATTTGAGAATGAATATCTTTGGGTACGTCTATGATGCCTTTCCGAAGTGGCTAAGAAGAATGCTTCGTTGACGATTCTGGGAATGCCGTGGACGTCGAGTACGAGGTAATTGTGAATTATATAATTTATCTTTATAATTATTATATATACATGTGTATCCTTATATTAGTACGATAGTAACATTTTTTAATTTATATTTTATGTATATTCATATATCTATTAGTTAAATTTTACAATTATAGTAAAGCTAATTTTTGCTAAGCTAATTTTTGCTAAGCTAATTTTTGCTACTAGTAGTAATCATTTTGTTTAGTGTGATGATAAAAATTGGTCATTATAAATTATATATAAATAAATATTTAATTTGTCATCCATTGCACATATGAAAATATCAGTAAAATAAATTTAGGTTAAAATTCTTATTTGGTCATGTTCTTATCGGAAATCTGCTGTAGAGTTGATCCACCAGGTAAGATTGGTGAGCCTCCTTCACTGGTACGCTTGTGTTCCAAGATGGGGGTAGTACTTTCAAAAGAGACTCCGATGCTAAAGTTAGGCTTTGTATGAGTATGAATCTCGTATATATAATGCACGTACCTTGATGTGTATTAAGATTTTGTTGGGCTTGGGCTTGAGATTAGTTGTGATTTGATTAGGTAGAGGATCTCGCCTAGACCGAGATTCCCCGAGATCGGTTACAATCTATTTAAGTGTCGAGCTGACGCAGCGTGGCGCGTGTCCGAGGTCAGCTCGTGCTGTGGTACCGAGTTCGGAGCTCGGTTTCGGAGTACGGATAGTACACTAGCCCTACAAACAAACAGCTTCACCAATCAACCTACACCTTTACGATTAACATCATGTGCTGTGCTGGACATTTTTTGATGCTTATTCTGGATGCAAAAATTACTATCACTTGGCCCAATTACGTTTTGCTTGCTTTTTTTGAATATATATTTTGTAACACATCCAATATAATTGTACCTTTCTTCCGAACTTTCCAACACTCACCCAAACAATCACATTTTTATCATTTATTAAATGCAATGAATCCAATATAATTGTACTTTAAATGTAGTATTTAAACATGTTTTTTAATTATATTCTACATCCAAAAACACAAATCCATTTTTAATCACATGCTTTTTATTATTTTAATGCTTAAGAGTAAAATTCATTACTGACATTATTAAATCACTATTTCTGCCATTAACAACTTCCAATCAATAGTTAATGACCAATTTCATCTGCTACAAACATGCACGAATCCATACCCAATTAAAAACTATGAAAATTTAACATACCCATATCTTAAATATCTAAATTTACAACGACATAATGCAACCTCAAACCGCTTCCAACATTCTAACTTAAACCACACTTTACCACACAACTCACCATACCTATAACCTATCTATCATATTTCACATAACCAACCCAAAAAATATATACTTGCCACACCAAATTCATACTAACTAATCTGTTCAATTTCACGTTTCAACAAATTAACATGCAATATCAGCTAACAATTACATTTCTTCATTTCATCAAATTGCTATATATCAGTTATAATTACTAATGAACCATTGTTTACCCACACGAATATAATGAACCTCACTTTTAAACACCATTCTCCTTCAACCATCAAATACTTTTCCCACAACTTTTGTAATTATTAATAACACACCTAAAAATAACGTATTCTGCTACACAATTAATTCATCACGGACTTCCAAACCTATCACAAAATTTGTATTCTGCTAACAAACCCAAATTTCATACATACTTTTTTTCTGTTTCAGTCCAATGTCATAATACAAATGATGGAATCAAGTTTTTATCCTAAAGATTTTGTTAAAGAATTAGTACATGGAGAAAGCTGGGATATTTTACAAGGAAGGGCAGTTCCAAATTGTGGCCATAGGTAATCAATACTAATTTACTTTACATTTCTTTTTCATAATGAATTTTACATTGACAATTTCTCTTTTCCAATGCATAACAGTAACAACTCTATTATTTGGGTTTTGCAATGGATGGATATGGAATATGCATTCCAACCAAACTTAATCAAAGTGGTGAGCAAATAATGCAATACCATTCATATTACATCTTATTTTACTTATGCATATTAATTTATGTCAAACAATGTCACATTTTCAGAGCCTTGATGAAGAAACCGTTCGAATGAAAATTGCGTTAGATTTGGTATCTGGTGATCATAATGAATGTAAACGCACCATCCAGATCAGAGCTGCAAAATTCTGTCAAAATATTGGACTATCATAAATTGAATACAAACAAACAGCTTCACCAATCAACCTACACCTTTACGATTAACATCATGTGCTGTGCTGGACATTTTTTGATGCTTATTCTGGATGCAAAAATTACTATCACTTGGCCCAATTACGTTTTGCTTGCTTTTTTTGAATATATATTTTGTAACACATCCAATATAATTGTACCTTTCTTCCGAACTTTCCAACACTCACCCAAACAATCACATTTTTATCATTTATTAAATGCAATGAATCCAATATAATTGTACTTTAAATGTAGTATTTAAACATGTTTTTTAATTATATTCTACATCCAAAAACACAAATCCATTTTTAATCACATGCTTTTTATTATTTTAATGCTTAAGAGTAAAATTCATTACTGACATTATTAAATCACTATTTCTGCCATTAACAACTTCCAATCAATAGTTAATGACCAATTTCATCTGCTACAAACATGCACGAATCCATACCCAATTAAAAACTATGAAAATTTAACATACCCATATCTTAAATATCTAAATTTACAACGACATAATGCAACCTCAAACCGCTTCCAACATTCTAAATTAAACCACACTTTACCACACAACTCACCATACCTATAACCTGTCTATCATATTTCACATAACCAACCCAAAAAATATATACTTGCCACACCAAATTCATACTAACTAATCTGTTCAATTTCACGTTTGAACAAATTAACATGCAATATCAGCTAACAATTACATTTCTTCATTTCATCAAATTGCTATATATCAGTTATAATTGCTAATGAACCATTGTTTACCCACACGAATATAATGAACCTCACTTTTAAACACCATTCTCCTTCAACCATCAAATACTTTTCCCACAACTTTTGTAATTATTAATAACACACCTAAAAATAACATATTCTGCTACACAATTAATTCATCACGGACTTCCAAACCTATCACAAAATTTGTATTCTGCTAACAAACCCAACATTCTACAAAATTAACAACATTAAGGGTTACAGAGACACCTAACCATGACGACCACCTGCTCATAAAGTCACACAACTTATTCCACGTTCTTTAACCTGCAGTTGTATCTCTGCATTCTCTGCTTCAACTAACGAAATTTTGTGTTTAACAATCTATCGCAGGACAAACAGCATTACAAACGTATACACACAAAATGATGGATCAACTTCATAAACTTCGTAAAACAATAACGTACCTAAACTTCCTCAAATGCCGCACAAACGTCATCTCTGTAAAATACAACCTCACACTGCATTCACTCAATATGACTTCGCCTTAACTGCATAACACGCCGCACTGTGTTACCATTCATCTCAAACTAAATTTCATATAATCAAATATAACAAACATCAAATTTGTCAATAACATTTTTAGATAAACGGAGGAAATAGAGTAAACAACAATACCATTACCCTAAACCCAAATTTCAACAAACCCTAACTCTAAACCTACATTCAACAACCTCTAAAGCACCACATATGTTAACTTAAAATTACAAAAAATAGGTAAAAAAACCAAACAAAAATGGAAACAAACAACAAAACCAAAAATTCATCCATCAACCATGTTCACCCGACGACAATCTTCTTCTTCTTCTGCGCAATGCCCTCAAAAAACGCATCAACAATCACCTCTTCCAACTCCAAATTCCACAAACCCTTTACCTCATATCTCAGCTTCACGGAAAGTAAAATACCCATCAATAATGCTTAATGTCAAACGAATTTCATAAAATGTCAAACGAATTTCAAAAAGGCTTCGTTGTTTAAAACAAATTTCTTTACCTGTACAAAATTTTGTTTATGGATTTTTGGACGCCTTGCGGACTGCGACAAACAAAACAGGACGCCCGTGTACCGAGCTCGGAGCTTGGCTTCGGAGTACGGATAGTACAGGTCCTTTATAATATTTTTTTGTTTCAATTTAGTCCCGCTTTAATTTTTGTTTTCAATCTGGTCCCCAATAATTTAAATTATTGCAATTTGGGACTTCCGTCCAAATGATTTAAACGGAGTTAACTATTGGCCACGTGGATGTCAGGTAAATGTCACGTAGATGCATAGGTGGATGCTAAATTCCATGAATACACTTGGAACCAGAACGGTCTGTTCTAAAACTAGAACGGCCCGTTTTGCATGTACATTTTATGTGTTAATTTTGCAATTGGAACGGTCTGTTCTGAAACTAGAACGTCTCGTTCTAGTGTTAGAACTGTCCGTTCTGGATTCAGAACGGTCCGTTCTAGATGTCAAATTTACACACTAATAGTGTAACTAGAACCCGTTCCAGATGCCAAATTTACACACTAATAGTGTAACTATAACGGGAGGTTCTGGTTTCAGAATGATCCGTTTTGGTTCCAGGTGTATTCGAGCAATTTGGCATCCATCTATGTGGCATCCATCTGGCATCCACATGGCTAACAGTTAACTATGTTTAAATCATTTGGACGGAAGTACCAAATTACAATAATTTAAATTATTGAGAATCAAATTAAAACCAAAAATTAAAATTGAACTAAATTAAAACAAAAAAATATTATAAAAAACTAAATAAGGATTTTAACCATAAATTTTATAAATATCCGACTAATTGAGTGTTTGGATGTGCATTAGACAGCCGGGGAAATAGCCAATACTGACTTTTTCATTTTTTTTAAAGGAATTAACACGATTTTAACGTAAAACGTGTTCCTAAAAAGAAGAAAACATAAAACGTGAATATGTAGGCTGATGTACGCGCTATACATGGTGTGATTAAGATAAAAATAGTAAACCCAAAATCAGGAAACAATAATGGAGTGTGCCTGCCGGTTGTGACGTGAAAACGAGACAGCAAGGACAATGACCAAAAGCGACTTAACATTCGTTTCCTCATTCTCTGTCTCTGGATTAACCAAACTTCACTTTTGTTACATGATTTTCAAAAGAGCATTGTTACAGTGTCCAACATTTTCTTTTTCAAAATAACGCAAAATATACTCGATCGCATCCCTTTGTGATTCATGATTATAAAGGACCGGAATGAGTACTGATAAAAGGATATAAAAAAAAATATATGTAACTAGACAAGTTATAAAAAAAAAGTGGAAAATTATGTATATTTATTGTTTTAGATTTTGGGATAAATTCAAAAAAAAGAAAAAAGAAGAAGAGATTTTATAATAAATAAAGTAAGAAAAAATAAATGAGATAACAAAATAATAAAAACATAATATAAAAAATAATAATCATTATTTCAAATTCGAGTATAATAATATGTTTTATGACAATTAAACTGAATTGTCATAATTTTATCTTTAAAAAAATGTTTTGATAAGTTAATTCTTAAATAATGTAAAATTTTATAAACAATAATTTTATGAAATGAATTTAATTAATTATATTGATTAAAAAGAAATGATTTAATAATTGAATTAATTAAAGAGTATGTGGTGAGGGAAAATGGGCAGTTGGGTAATGAGTTGCGTATAAATATCCGAAGGGGGCCTTGTCTGAATGACAGCCAGAAATACCTGTCTCTCTCTCTGTTTCTCTGCAAAGCAAGAATCTGAAATCTCTCCTCCTCTTCCTTCCAACAATCATCAATCAGACAGTGCATGGCAGCAGCCAGATTGTCAAGGCATGAGATATCAGATCTGTGTCTTGGGAAGCCGGCGCTGAGGTCCCTCTCGGTGAGCGACACCGTAGGCGACGCCCTCGCGGCCCTCAAGGGGATCGACGACGCCTACGTCAGCGTCTGGACCTGCAACCACTCCTTCCTCAGGAACCAGAAGGAGAAGGAGAAGGAGAAGGAGGAGATTGGGAAATGCATCTGCATCGCTAAGGTGTGCATGGTGGACATGATATGCTTCCTCTCCAAGTCGCAGAGCCTGTGCGCCCCTCTCTCGGCCCTCATCCCGGAGTGCTCCCCCCTGGTGCGCCACCTGGCCCCCACGGCCACCATAGTGGAGGCCATAGATGTCATGTACGAAGGGGTGCACAACCTCGTCATCCCAATCCAAAACAAGTACCCAACAGAATCAGACACGCTCCACGCCAACAACACCGCCTACTGCTGGCTCACGCAAGAGGACGTCTTCCGCTACCTCCTCAACTCCATCGGCGTCTTCTCCCCCACGCCCTGTAACCCCATCAACACCCTCGCCATCATCGACACGCACAACCTCTTCGCCGTTGCCCACGACGACCCCGCCTCCTCCGCCCTCGACCTCCTCGCCCTCTCCCTCCTCTACCAGAGCTCCGTCGCCCTCCTCGACCCCCACGGCAAGTTCCTCGGGGAGATCTCCCCCTTCCGCCTCAACTCCTGCGACGAGGGCGTCGTCCCCGCCTTGGCCGTGCTCTCCGCCGCCGACTTCACCTCCTTCATCCACTGCGGCGGCCCCCCGGAGGACCTCCTCCACCTGCTCAGGGACACCCCGCCCACCGCCCTCTCCTCCTTCTCCTCCACCGGCTCCGACGACGACGACTACTGTTTCTCCGGGAAGAACTGGAAGGCCGGAGGGTACTCCGGCAGGGCGGCCAGGCGCTCCGAGGCCATCGTCTGCTACCGCTGGAGCTCCCTCGTGGCCGTCATGATTCAGGCCCTGGCGCATCGCGTCAGCTACGTGTGGGTCGTCGAGGACGACGGAACCTTGACGGGGATCGTTACTTTTCAGGGAATGTTGAAGGTTTTCAGAGACCACCTCAAATCCATGTGCTAACATGCACCCACCCACTCCTTTCTTCTAGATAACATAACATAGCATCCACTTCTCAGCACCCACAATCACAAACCATTTTTGTTCTTTCTTTTTACATTTAAATATTGGAATGGAAACCCGTCACCTGTACACAGATGCCAGGAGAGGAGAGAAACATGATTCTGCAAAAAAGAGAGAGAGAGAGAGAGAGAGGAAAAAAAAAATTTGAAACCACAAATGTTACCCAGGTATCTGCAAAATTTGGCTGTTTCAATGTTGTTATTCTTATTAAAATTAACTTAGTTTCCAAAAAATATATTACTAATTTATTTTTTAACACAAAAATATGTTCAAGAATTTTATCTCATTTTCATGCATGGATATTGTTAATTGTTAAAAATCATTATAAATATAATTTTAAGATAATTATAACATAAAATAATATGTGAAATGAATGTATAGCTAAACAGTGTAAAAATTCTTACAACTATCCGTATCTATTAAGTTTATAATAAATTTCATATCTTAAAGTTGCACGATATCATATAACTGCCGCTTTTTGTTTCAAGTTCTTTGTATTAGAAACGGCTACGATTTAACTTTGAATCAAATTTGATGATTACTTCTCCCATAAACTACTTAATCCTATATTAAGTGAAGAACCTATTAATTAGATAAATATTTATAATTTAAGGATCAATTAAGATAAATTAAAGTTGTTGTGAAAAAAAAATAATAATAATTAGGCGGATTCTACGAGCGTGTCGATGACATTAGCATATACCGTATAAAAAGATAAAGATCCCTTTGAAATGTCAAATCCAATTTCTAGGAAAAGCTGATCACGAAAGCTACGTGCAATGCAACGTAATTCGCAGAAAATGAATTATAGCAAATATTTATTCGATAAATTTTTTTTAAATTTCTCACTTAAGCTAGTTACCAAAAAATATGAAGAAAAAAAAAAAGCAAACACTATTTAATATATTTTATTTATAGAATAATAACGTGGTTGATTTTGAAGTTCTTTTTATTGACAAGGATTTTGATTATGGTATTTGGAAGTCGCAACCACGAATTTTCCAGAAAGAGACGGTTGATGATACAAATTAAAATCTTCCAATAAATTATCCTTTTCTTTCTGTTTACTAAAAAGTAAATTGTCAATATTCAATATGTGAGCTTTGTAATTGTTGGCTAGTTGGTACTAGTTAGGTGGGTGGATTCAAATTTGCATTCTGGAGGAATTGAATAGCCGTTGATATCTAAATAATTAGTTAGTGCTACAACCTACAGTAACTTGATTGACGATTGGTGAAGCACAAAATTGCATTATTTCCACATTGGAAACTTTATTATTTTATCGCATAGAAGCAGAATCCACCTTAATTTTACTGCATTTTCATCTGGAGGCTGCCACTTGCCAGGATGAAATTTCCTTATAAATCTCTTTCGGTAACACTTATTTTTATCTTAGTTTATTTTTGTGTGTACAAAATTTTGAACTATTTTATCTTATAACATTTAAATCACTCTCTTTCACTATCTTTTTTATTTAATTTCTATTTCCTTTTTTTTTCCACTTCCCATTAATTTCCAAAGAATCACTTATTTCGTTATTTTTTTTTATTTTTTAAACTATTTTCTACTAGCTGGCAATCATAATTGCAACATAACACAAAGGCTTTTGGTCCAAAAGGACCAAAACAAAATCCTTAATCTTGGTTAATATGTAAGCCTATTTATAGTTATATATGTAAGAGAAGCCCAGCCCATTATTTTTCCTGAGTCCTGACCTTTTTGATTCGCATTAGGCTTTGCAATTGCCAGTTGCCACATTTGCCTTCTACCTATATTTCAATTTATTTCTTTCCACAACTGCCTCATGTAATGAATTTTTTTTATAGTAATTTCATTTAAATATTTTATACATTCCTTTTGCATTAATCAATCTATACAAAATCACAAGAACGATTTTGACTACAAGAACGATAAAATCATGGATAAACTAAGTATGAAAACAAAAAGTAAAATTAAGCTTCTATGTAAGTAATTTTTTTATATAGATAAATGTATGTATTATTTATGGTTTATTATGGTTTATGTATGTGCAAGAAAAATATTGGCAGATGCAATCTATTTCTAAAATATTTAATCTGATATAGTAGCAATTAATTTTGTTTTCCACAGTGAGTGTTACGATGTTACTAGACATGACATTGCATTTTTTATGTCATTCAAATGTTTTTCAACATTATAATTTTGTCATACAATCCTTTTATATTTTTTAAAAAGTAATGCTGCAAAAAGAGTAACAAAAACATGTTCAAATCAATCGGTTTCACAATCTTATTATGTAACAGTATAAGTTTCGAAGTTTTAAATTAATTATATGAATTGGAGTTAATGTTATTTTAAAACTCTAATTAAGATTCTAAGAATCTTTAAGAGTTAAGTTGTCCATGAATCAGTTTTAGTTAGAGTTAGTTAAGTTCGTTGAAATAAGAATATATAAGATTTTTCTTAAGATGTAAATCTTATAAAATTTATGTTTTAAAGAAAATTAAAAAAAAAATAGAGAAAAGGTCTTTGAAACTCAATAAAACCCTTTTCAATTTCTTATTCCCTGATTCATCTTCTACTCTTGTAGTTGATTGAGTGGGTTGATTCAAAGCATGTATAGTCAAGAATCTCGAGTCTTAAGTCATGCAGAATTTTTTTCTTCTCATCTCTTTGGTTTGGATTGATTGGAGGTAAGAAAAGTTTGTGGATTAAAGATTGTTTGATTTTAATGGTTGTTTTCTATTTGAAGATCATCTATTGTAGTTGAGATTGATTGAATTCGTGATGGTTTGCTAAGTTGTGATTTTTCTCTCAGAGTTGTTCATGAGACAAAATATGATGATTCTTAGCTTTTGATGGATGCATGTTGTTTTTATGGTATAATTATGTTGTACGTGTTGTTTAGATGTGGTATAATGCAATGCATGTTGACAAGTTGTTGTTTTTCAGGTGGATTGGGCAAATTTTGCATAAGTGCAAAAATTAATATCACAATAGGTGCACCTTCATGGTGTCGTGGATGGTTCAAAGTTTTCTTAACATTGGGTACAAGACTAGTAGTATCAAATGTGAAAAGAGATAATCATCTCTAACTTGGTTACACTGAACGTGATTTGAATAACACCAAATGTGAGGAAAAAGAATCATCTTGTGTTGAAATCACATCGAGCACCAAATGAGTGGCATTGAATGTGGATCAAGTCAAGATCCTCTGCTTGTTTGGGGTTGGGCATGGATTTTTCCACACTAGGAATAAAAGAGTGGGAGACTTTTTGCTTCAGTCACTACCAAGTGCAAGTAGTTTGGCGTTAGGTGTTGAGATTTCCGTTGAAGTACTTTTGTTATAATTGAAATTTAGTTTAATTCTATCAACGGTCTCAAACACGGCAAGTATACCGGCCGTTCAAGTAGTAAAAATATCGTATCCACAGGGATTAGAAGGTAATATAAGCATTTATTGACTATTCGTGACTAAAGAATAATTCCAATTTCATAGTTTGTGCAGTGAATGCAAAGTTGTGACTATTGGAATGAAAGCTGTAAATAAATATTGTTTTGTGAGTGGAAAAGGTAAGGAATGGTATTGTGGTATTGTGAGGTTGTGGGGGTCAGATTTCACCAAACGTCAAACTAATGTATCCTTAATCTCTTGTTGAATTCATTGCTTAGTCAACCCATAAGTTTACTCAAACCTAATCCCTTAGAGAAAGAGCCTAGGTGCGGATATTGAATATCAATCCCTTGAGTACCCAATATCTACACCCGCATTACGGGCTAGGGTTTAAGACTACTAATGGGTCAAGCTCTATCCCTAGATACAATCACCACTAGGCATATGTTTCAGAACTAGTTTCAAAGGTTATTTTCCAATACCCATGGAACCTTAAATCATGCAAAGGGTGATCAATCCAAAGCAAGCATTAAGAATAGAAACAAACACAACAAAGAATAAAACAACATGTATATATATCATTAAAACCGTAAAGATTACAATAGAGTACGTTGGTTACATCTAACCCCACAAAATGGGTGAAACCACTCAACAAAGAGGGCAAATACAAAATAGAGATGGAAGAGGAAGTGAAGAACCGAAGGAAAGATCCGCACACGGACGATCCCAAGCCCTGGGAATCCCTTCCGCAGCTCCTGGAGGCGCCCAATGTGAGAATGGAGAGAAAGATCCCCGAAAATGGCTTCAAATACGAGCCTGGGAGATCAGATTAGGGTTCCGCGCCCGGCGCACAATTCTTCGCGCCCGGCGCAAGTTCTTCCAGAGAAGTCAAGCACTCTCTGTCTCAACACAAGCCCGGCGCAATTCCTTTTGCGCCCGGCTTAATTCCTTTTGCGCCCGGCTTAATTCCTTTTGCGCCTGGCGCAATATAACTGGCAGAGATGAAATACTCTGTTTTTGTCACGCCCAGCGCAGGTTATATTGAGCCCGGCGCAGAACCTCTTCTCTGCTCCTTAGCTTCTTAGGTTTACAATCCTAAGAGTCTTCAATCCTCAAGTCACTAGCTCAATACCTGCACAAAAAATGAGGAGTATTAAGGTATTGTTAGCTGAATTTGGGTTAGTTATATCTGCACACAAAATGAACCAAAAAGAGAACAATTATATTGCAATGGTTCAAAGGATGAGTGGAATTTGTTCAATAAGTCTCATCCAAAAAGAGGTAAAATTGAGACTTAACATTAGGCATGTGTGAGACAAGAAGCCCCTTATCTCAATGGCGTTAAGTGTCTACGGGATGACGTTGGACGTGAGTTGCATGATTTTAAAGAAATATTTAAGTTGTTTTATAATTGATAGATGGCGATTAAGTTTTATGATGAAGATTATATGATGATAATTCATTATTTTTTGAGTTGATATACTATATGGTGATATTTAAATTGTTAAGTTATGAGCTAATAAATGATTAGGTTGTGAAGTTATATGTTGTTGTAGTTAATTAAGTTTTTGAGTTATTAGGCATGTGATGTAGATATATGTCTTTGTTGAGATATATAAAAATTAAAGGACACTAAAAGTTGTTTAAAAATTAAAATATCCTATTGTGTGGATATAAGTTGTGGTGCTCCACGAGCTTGATTGAGAACCCATTCAATAAGTAAATTGACTTTTGAATGGGTAGTTATTTTAAGTTGTCTCCTATAAGTTTTATGTGAAATCCATATGTGGACAAGGTTGAGGTCTACATGTGTAAAGCGACCAACTGAGTAAAATACAAGGCCGAGCACTTAGTACCTAA